TAATTTTTTTTTTTGATTATTTTGATTATTTTTGTAAAATTGGTAAAAAATCATTATAAATTTAACCGTTCAATTCACACGCACCATACGCACCACACGGCACCACACACATCACGGGCACCACATACATACACACATATAATAAAGATCATTATAATTACTTTAAAATAAATATATTCAATTAATGATCAAATAAAGATTTTTCATATAAAGATTATCAAATAACAACATATCATCATCATCATAAATTATAAATTATGGATTACTAATTTTAAAAAAAAAAAAAAAAATTTTTTTAATGAAATTTTTAACATGAAAAATAGTTTTTATATGTACGATACATATTAGGAAACGTGATTTGATTTTTCCTTTTATTTCATACAAAGATGATCTAACCGGTTATGTTTAACGTGATTAAAAAGAAAAAAAAGAAAAGTGAAAAAGAAGTTTCGGTTATACAACAAATATGAAAATACCCATCTAAATTATGTTTATTATAGTACTAATAATTACCCCAAACAGTAATGTGGCACGTATATTTATTTATATTATAAATTTATAAAGAGTAACAAATACGAACAATACAGTATTTAACCGTAACTTACTTTTATCTTTGAAATCTGCAAAAGTGCCAATAAATTAATTTCCGAATTAATTTTACCAATTTTACCAAAATAAAAAAATTATGTAACATGATACGATTTATTCATGATATATGAAACGATTGATACATGATACGATTGTACATGATACAATTGATCATTTAAACATTTTATTAAATTATAAATTATAAATTATTATTTTATTATTATTTGTAAAAATAAGTAAGTTTTGCTATATACTATATACACATTACAGAATTAATAAATAGTATAGTACTATAAATTTATTTATCTCATGTACCTACTTATGTATATAATTACTTTTTTGGAAAAGGGAAAAGAAAAAAAAAAAAATATAATAATTATTAATTATATCTCTCCAACTTTTTTTTTTTATCGAATAAAAAAAAATTTTTTCATATTAATAATTCGATTATAAATAGATAAAAAAAAAAGATATTCCACACAAATGAAAATTACATAATAAAAACGAGAATTAAAATACCCGTTTATACTGCGGGTTCGTCCACTTAATTCATCTTCACTTTCTTTCTTAATTTCTTTTGCGTCTCTTGGCGTATTCTTCACCGTTATCCGGAGGATCAGGTATTGGTGGAGCTCTTGTTTGCGACGTTGATGGATTATTAACAACTGGATTCTCTGATTTAAAGGGGATAGGAGAAGTAGAAGATGAAGATGGAGGACGTTGTTGTTGAGATTGTGATTGTGATATTGTAGATGAATTATTGTCCTTATATCTATTTTCAGATGGATTTAACAAATTACTATCACTACCGAAACCTAACGATGAAGCGGGTTGTGAAGACCTTCGAGTTGGAGGCGAAGGTAATGATGATGACATGTGTGAAGAATGTGAATTATTCGTTTGGGAATATTGTGAAGCTGTATGGGAACTAGATTGTGACATGGATACCGATCGACTATATGTATCCATTGATGCAGATCTACTGTTGGCAGGGCTCACACCTGATATCGGTTCAGGAGATCGGTGTCGTAGGTAATTATTATTCGGTTGAAAAGGAGAAAACGGAATTTCCGGTAACATGGCTAAAGGACTAGATGTTTGAACTTTTGGATTATGATGATTTGGACCAAATGGAGATGTTGACCGCATACGATATTCAATCTCACTCATTGCTGAATGTGTAGGTTCCAAACCAACCATGGGTTGTGGAGTTGACATTGATCTTATTGGATGTTCTCTAGGATAATGAGATTGATGATGCATCATAGGTGAGTGAGAAGGTGGTGGAACATCCACTTGTCCCAATTTTGCAACTTCTGCAGTCAGTAGATCCACTAAAAATATTTGATTAAAATGTTATTATTAAATAAAAAAAATATTTTTTTTTTTTTAATATGAAAATTAACTATATTATATTTACTATCAAATTTTCGTTTCAAACTACGTGGATCGTTATTATCATCTATTAATCAATGAATTAAGTTGTTAAAAAAAAAAAACGATCATATAAAACGATATAAAAAATCTTTAATAAATTACCTTCTCTAGACATTGAAGCTAAAAGATTTGTAATAGCAGTGATCACCTATAAAATAAATTATGTATAAATAATATTTTCATCTCAAGAATCTCTTTGGGTCTATATAAAAATAATTGAATGTACCTGTTGATGTTTTGATTGTAACATTCTACAAGAAACAGTTTCAGCATATAATAAACTATAACTTTCATTCATTTGACGCATTCTATCCATCATTTCAGACATTTGTGTTGTTAAACAATCAATTCTATCATCACGCGTATCAGTATCAGCTGAAGGACTCTGACCTGTACCAGAACTACCTAAATTCCCTTTCATATTACTAGGATTGGCAGGTTTTGAACTTTTACGTTTAATATTTTGTAAAGCTAATAGTTGCCCACGACGAAAATCTGGATGTTTAAATTCCCAAGCTTGACTTTCACTTGTTGGATTTGCATGAAACATATCATTCACTTTTTAAAATTTTAAAAAAAAATGATGTTAAAAACACTATCATTTAAAAAAAAAAAAAAAAAGTTTAATTTGAAAATTTACCTTTATGAAATCCATACACTAAATAATTAGATCAAATGGTAATACAAATAAATAAATTAATTAATAAATAAAAGATATAATTATAATATATAATTATTATAATAACTTACTATTTAATTGTCTGACAAAACTTTGCCAATTATTATGTTTAAAATACTGCGGTAAGACCGATTTTGAAAATTCGGTTGGATTAGAAACACTGAAAACGTCACCAGAAGGAGCCCATGAGATCAAATGTTGAATCGAAGGATCTTCTACCATTCTGTTAATATTTTAATCAAATAAGGTTTTAATATCATTGGACTTTTTTTACGCGTAATTTTCATTAAATTGATAACATAATTGATTTTTTTAGTGATGATAGAAATTGAATCAACGAAAAACTTGAAATCAAACAGGATTTTTAAAGAAATAATAAAATACTTACGTGTAAAGTTTATTAACAAAAGCTGCCTGTGTTTTATGAGCAGCAGCTGGTGTCGTTGGTGTGGTCGTCGCTATTGTTGTTGTCGTGGAAGTCGTTGTCGCTGTATTACTATTTGTAGACTGAGCAGGAGGCGATACATTTGTCAAGTTTGTGGAAGAGGTTGGGGAAGTAGTAGTAACTGGAGCGACTAATGGTTCGTGAAAAGGAGATGTAACTAAAGGTGTCGAGGTGGAAGAACCGGGAAGTGAGGTACCAGGCGGTTCAGACTGTGACGTAAAGAAGTCCCCTTTGTTTGTATTATTATTATCTCTTTGAGTGTTGTCGACGTTATTATTACTGGTATTGCCATTATTATTAGAGGTATTATTGCCTTTATGTTCCATAATGGGCTTTTGACCAAAAGCGTTGTCTGAAATATCTGGAGCCAGGTTGGCGAGGAACCAAAAAAGAAGAAGAAAAAAAAGGAATAAACCACGGTAAAAACTCTTTTTCTCAAAAAATAGGGAATGACAAAAAAAAAAAAAAAAAAAAAAAAAA